GGACAAGAGTCAAAGGAGAGAAAAAGAAAGGAGGATACATTTGCTGTGGCTGAGGGGAAGGCACTCAGGAAGCTGTGCTGGAGTGTGCTAGCTTTTACAATAGAGGATAAAACTCTCCAAGCCAAAATTGTTTGATAGAACTTCTTGACATTGATAAGAACGATACTGCAGACCTACACATTCCTTGTTGCTTAGGTCAACATTTGCTGCCATGGACAAGACTGAGGCATCTTGTTTGGCTGTCCTCTGGAGATCACAAATTACTGTCATGGTGTCCCACACTAAGTAGGCAATATAAACCTCAATTGCATACACAGTTCTCATAATCACTTTGCATTTCAGGCAGGAGAACACAGGACAATGTAGCTATAGTTGTAGACACCAAGGGACTATTCACTGATGCTAATGACAGATTTTAATAATTCCAATTTGAATAATTATGAATATTTCTGTCATTGTTTGATGTAATCTCAGCATAATGTTGGCACATGGCCCTTTGTCAGTGCTAAACAAGAAAAGTTTAGCTTTAAATTTGACTGTTTCATAGTTTCTGCTCCAAAAAGTCTTGAGCTTCATCAAATTCCTTATCCTTAGACTCTGCTCAGTGTGTTAGATTTTGGTTGTGGAAAGTGAAAAAAAGCGCGTACTTTTTGGGCAAATAGAGAACTATGATTTACAAGCTGCAAAATGACCACATTAAAATTTAGAGGAAGATGAGTATATAAAATTTCAGTGCTAGACAGTAAAGCCACGTGCTTGACCATGTGAACTGAACTTCACCAAAAAAAGTCAGGTGTGGAAAACAGACCACTGATGTGACAAATACTTTTCTGTTTCACAGTAGTTCCAAGAATGATTTAGAGACAGTAATTTTTTAATCAATTTTCTTGTAGTAATTCTACGGAATGTCAAAAGGATGTAAAGTTAATAAAACCAGAGAAGTCTAGAAATTGCCTCTGAAATTCTCAGCCCTGGCCTCAGTATATCACAGTAGCATTTCTGCAGAAATCCTCCCCAGCCAGTCAGACAGTATTCTGAAAACAACCTTGTACCAAGATAATATCCCTGAGGATCAGACTAGATAGATGACGAGCAAATATACATTTTACATTCATATACATAGTGGGAACATTAAAGATTCATCTCCTTATAGCAATATCCGTAACTGGAGGTAAATATTTGCTCTAAATTCATCTTCAGTCTGTGACATTTATGAAAATTTTTCCTAGGTTTTCATAAACCACTGCATTACTTTTGCTACAGTGGTCTGCTAGCATAAATTCCACAACACAGAGTAGAGACAATTGCACCGTCTCTAGCTGTTGCTAAAGACATGGTTAAATTCTTCCTCCTGAAACACGGGGCTTTTAACAGACCCAAAGTTCTCCATTTCTCCCTTGAGCTCACATGCCCAGACTACCCATTCTGAGGGCCTGATGGATCGTCAGCATTACTGTAAATAGCAGCTGCTACCACACTTCCTCCTTACATCATCTTTTTTTACAACTTTCCCCCACCCTCTTTCACTAAGGATCATTACTTTGGATTAAAACTTTCTTTCCTCATGCCTCTAATTCACTGCTCCTTTATCCCAAAATGTAATGAAAGACTTCCTCATCCTAACAATTAATTTGGACAATAGCCTCATTAGTCCTGGTCCCAGATGCTAAATCTTTTTTTCCAGCCCATCTTGTGTTGCTTCCATCCAGCTTTTCCACAGCTCCTCTACTCAGCATAGTTTTCTTGGTAAACCATGTCACTTGTATGTTTAATTTATTTATTTTTTTTTTTTTTTACAAGATCAAAACTTGCTCTTAAACTTCTGGTCTTTATCTCCATCTCAGCCTAAGACTCAGAACTGAATCTGTGACTGTCTACACTATAGCCCACATCCAGGGCTACACTATAGCATCTGCTCTATCACCCAGTGACCCCTCTCCAGCAGAAAAGAGGAATCGGGAGAAGGAGAGAAGAGCCAGGGGGTGAAATGAAAACAGATTTAATGGAAGCACAAAACTAATACCAATAAAAAGTATACAAAGTTACAATCAGCATACAGCAGTCACAATAAATGAAAAGGGTAGTTCCTGAAAGCCAGAGCAACTCCTTCTCAACAAACTGGCCCCATTATAATGGGAATGACACTGATAGGATGGGATACCCTTGTGAGGCAGCTCAGTCCACCTGCCCAGGCTGACTCCAAAGCTGCTAACAGCCTGCAGACCATGGCTGGCCTGTGATTCTCACCCAGCAAAAGCAGGACCAACACCCACTCATTATCGTTTACATCGTCCTTGACCATAAAACTTTTCCCCTGAATTCACTGTTATATCCAAATCTGTGTCATCTTATTCAAAACATTTCAAAATACCTTTCTTTCATATGAAGGCCACACTACTAACTTGTCCTCCTCAGCTGATGAAACATATGCTCAGGTTACTTAGCAAGCAGAGCTGAACAGCCTTTGGTAGGAAGCAACTATGCTAAATTATACCAGCAGAGAAATTGGCCAAAATGCAAAAGTTAATTTATTCATTTAAGGTTTCTTACTGTGCTTTGATTTATCTGTGTCCTATCTTCTGGAGCTTCAGCTGCAAAGGGCAAGAATTGTCTTTATCACTTTACTGAATACCACTGCTATGTTCTCAGTTCTTTCACACCAGTAAATAATGAGATACTCATGAAATTCTTAGCAGGTGTTGTGTTTCAATATCTTATCTGATTTCAGTGGGAGGTTTACCTGACTGAGATCATCTGGGATGCCTCCACAAAGCAGAATAATTTCTTGTTCCCCCTACCAGGTAACAAATGCCAGCTTAATGCAGCAATCTATCATCACATAGTTATGTATTATCCATAGCCAAAAGCCCCTAATAATAAATTCTATTCTCCTCAGGATTATAAAGTAGAAAACTAAGGTGAACCTGTTGTAAATAAAACTGAATTCCCTAAAAAGCAAGGCCTTTTTGTACCTTAATAACACAATGCTCTCTCCAGCTGTCAATCTAGAAACACCATACCACTTGGTATCACATACTTTATTCTGCTCTAACAAACCTGTTAATAAAATAAGCCCTACAGCTGTGGGAGTGAGGGCTGTGGAATGGGAAAAGATTATGCCTATTTCTGCACGGATAGTGAAGCTGCACTGTTATGGCCAAGAGCAGAATTGAAGCTTTTTTGTGAAGAAGCAGTTGAGCATACATTTTGAAGCACAAGCCTTGATTTTGCTAACAGGTAAGAGTTTAATTCAGTTGATGGGGCAAAAATAGAGGCACTGCAGCAAGACCTGACTCCTTGTGTCCTGTTCTGCAGTAACCATTGCCAGGTATGCAGAAGAGGAAGATTTAACACATCCTGTTAAGGAATCTCGGAATTAGCTGCCTGAAAGAGAAGCACATCCCTTCTCTTTACAGGGACAGACTCTGTGATGTGCCAAACCATATATAATTATCTGATGAAACATCAGGGATGTAGCTTTACTGGGTAACACCCCACAGACTATATTATGAAGGACACTAGATGCGATGTTCACAATGTCCCAGTCTTTCCTTGTCCTAATTTTTTTCTTTCCTAGAATCACCCAGTCTGTTTTACTGTCACAGTCCTGTAGCATGTTGTGACAATGTCTTCTGCTGACCACATGCCCAACATAGAATGATATTATCATTAACAGGCAGACCAGCAGCCAAACTCCTCCCTCCACTACCAGATCACTCACCAGAGATCCAGAGTGCCAGACAGCCAGAGGGAGGAACAAGTCAATGCACTCACACACCACAGTGGGCATGAAGAAGGGAGCAAGCCAGGCAAGGAGCCAAACCATGGGCAATGGTAGCAGCCAGGGCATGAGCCTAGTCATAAAGCAGGGACTCAGATACAGCTTCATGTTCTGACCTTATCATCCTGGGAACTGACCTTATCATCCTGGGAACTCCACTTGCCATGAAGAGTCAGGGAGCCCTTCCAATAACCAGAATCACAACACATACACTCTAAAACCAGACCTCCCAACCCTACTGCAAGGGGAGCCAGCTCTTACAGAGGTGGCTTCTTGCCCTGCCTATAAGTTAATGTGGAAGGTGGAGACACCTAGTAGTGATCTCTTAATCAGTTCCCATCCAAGGCTGGCCAGACCCTGGGTGAAAAGCAATCAGGAGGGTCTTTCTTGTCTGGTTGTGGACATCATCCATAAGCCAACCCTCATTCTGGGCTGGGGCTTTAACCCCAGCACTTCATAATGGCATGACAAATGTTCCATCACAACTTATCATGATGCAGTATGATATGAGTTATGGGTTGTCTTTATAGCAAAGAATACTGCCCATTTATGGCAGAAAAGTTTGGCTAAGGACTAGCTGAGAAATAGAGAGGAATAGCTAAAAACCAAAGAGCTATTTTCCAAATGTGAATGGAGTGACTCCTCTTGGTATCCATGCTGCACAATATGGTGCCCATCTGATACTTCCTTTAGTAGGCAGGAGGAGGAGTGTCTGCCCAAAGGCACGGAAAGCACATGCCACCTTTCTTTCTCACATCTCTTCCTCCTTTGTACTAATTTAAATTTCCTCTTTTATCCTGAGTAAGTGCTGAGCTTTGCTAACACCAAACTCAACATTTCATTACATTTTGTGATAATTGGTCTGCAGGTAATTTGAAGGTTGATTAGTTTTTTCTTACTCGTGATTACAAACAGGCACTCTTAAATGCTGCTTTAGTGCCGATCTGGTGCTCTAGTCAAGAATAATTTAGATACTTTCTCTTGTAATTGAAAGTAACTGTTGATGGACAGGTAATCTAGCTGATGGATGGACCTAATACGTGCTCTTTCCTGGTAGATGGTACCAACAAATAAAGGTCCATGCACTGCTCACAATGGCAGGGCTTTTTAGCTCAGTTAATTACCATTTGTTGTTAATCAATTACGTACAACCAGCACATATAGTCTCCATTGACCTGTAAGAGAGGTGATGGTTATTTTGCATAGCATATTGCTCCCTTTAATCCCTGGGCTCTTGGCAGAAGACACAGTCTTGTTTTTGATCCTCTCCCGATTCAATCTGAATGGTGATGGAGTGGAAGCTGTAGTGCTCAGAGAGGGCTTGCATAATAGCTCTCAAAATCTTCTGGCTGTCCGCTGTGTCTGCTACGGATAGCAATCAGAAAATAATCAAACTGCATATAATACAATACTTCAAAGAAGAGTAAGTGTTTGCTGACAGAAACTATTTGCAAACTTCGCAAAAGAATTTTGTTTTGAGAAATGTTTCTTTTCCTCTTTATCCTCCTTCCAGGAACCTGCATGTCAGAGAAAGTTTGTTCATTCATATGTGGTCAGAACATCTAATTTTGGCAAGAGCTGAGCTAAGAGTAATCACTAAAGAAATTCAGTTGGGCAGAAGAGTGGAGGAATGCAGGAGTACTTAATAAAGATTAGCTTATCCAGTCAAGGAGTAGCAACAGCGCCAAGTGATTTGGGTGGCTGGTAGACCCACTCCTTTTGGGAAGTGAGGACTCCATGGATGACTTTGCCTCTAAACCCATTTTTGGCCAAACCCAGGCGGAATTTTTTCCTTAAATAAACCATAACACGTACAAAGAAACAGATAAACAAGAAAATTGATATGACAACTTGTCAACAGGGATAAGGACTACATTTAAAAAAAAAAAATTAAAAGACAAACTGTTCCCCTGGAGTAACCTCTACGCTCCAATCTATGTTTTACAGATTGTTTTAGAGCTAGAGATGCATCAAGAATGAAGACTTCCCCTGTAAATGCTTCTCACAGGGATTGATAGTTTTCAAGTTTGATAAATCCACTCCAAAATCTATTTGATACTTTGAGAAAAGTACAACCTGGGTCTAATTCTTCTGGTTTATTTAAAATGTCTTATAGTTTATGTCTTTGCTCCACAACCTGTGTAGTTTTCAGGTTTGGGGCTTGTCTCTGTTGTTTTGGCAAGGTTTCTGGGAGGAGGATTTGAGCGCTTTTGTTGTTATTTTTCCAACAAAACAACCACATTTGTTTTAACAAGCAACAGATATACCAATCAGGAGAAACTGACCTTTAGTAGGCAGTAGCTGAATTCTTACTCCCTGTTTACAGAAATTTACTGACCTGTGGCAACATGAGCAGATAGCATAGTTTGATTCATTGTCAGAGACCAAAGATGAAGGTTGTGAACAGACTCCACTTTCTCAACTGCTAAAATTCTTGCTCTCACTGCATTATAAGCAAGTCCTTTTGATGTTCCTTAAAAGGAGAAATTGGTGGAAAAAAAATATTTTGAAGAGGTAAGAAAGATGATCATTAAAGGAAAATGCATCATTAACATTTATTCAGTGAGAAGTATAATTTTTATTAAAGTATTCAATGTTTTGGAAAGCTTGTCTCTTAGGTAAGCATCTGTTTAGCAGAGAGGGAAAGATAAATGTAAAGATTCAAATGGTTTGGCTCAGGAATCTTATATGAAATTAAATCCCAGGTCTGGTTATTGAGTAGATCAGTGATTATTTTCCTATATGAGCCTTCTTATAAAAGATGATGATGCTGATGACCCTCATTCAGAGTGAGGACAATTGTGATGGGATGAGTTGCAACAAAAAATTCAGAGTTTAATTTAAATCCAAATTTGACAAAGGAATTTAACTACAGAACTTCCCTGGAGTGAGACCAGCGAGTTTGGAAATACACCTCTATGCCCACATGAACAGCTATGCTCATCGTTCTTCACTTGGATAAGTAAACTGAAAAATATTTTTAATGCCACCAGTTATGAGCATAATAATGACAAGCACAGTATTGGTTGTGTCTTTCTTACCATAACTGATACTTTTGGTAATTGTTAATGACCTCATTGTTGTCTGCTTTGTCCTATATGTTTATTATAAGAATGATATGCGATAGCAAGTATTGACTTAGTAGAATATGATACTAACATGCACATATTGGCCAAGAAGACCAACAGTGTCCTGCCTTGTATGAGAAATAGTGTGGCCAGCAGGACTACAAAAGTGATTGAGCCCCTGTACTCAGCACTAGTAAAGGCACATCTCAAATACTGAGTTCAGTTTTGAGCCTGGAGAAAAAGAGATTCAGGGGAGACCTTATTGCTCTCTACAATTACCTGAGTGGAGATAGTAGAGAGCCGGTGGTCAGTCTCTTCTCTCAGGTAACAAGTGACAGGACAGGAGGAAATGACCTCAGGTTGTGCAGATTAGATTAGATATTAGGAATAATTTCTTCACAGAAAGGGTTGCCAAGCACTGGAACAAGTTGCCCAAGGAGGTGGTAGAGTCACCATCCCTGGAGGTATTTCAAAGACATCTAGATGTGACACTTAGGGATGTCATCTGTTTAGTGGTCATCTGGTAGTGTTGAGTTAATGGTTGGACTTGATGATCTTGAAGGCTTCTTCCAACCAGAACAATTCTATGGTTCTATGTTCTTTAGAGAAAACTAGGGAAAGTCAGTGCCTGACACAGTCAGTCGCAGGAACTGTGAGGCTGACACCCTGTGACACTGTGTGGGGTAAGAGCCACCAGTACAAGCTCTAACATCCAATTTCTTTTCAGAAGATTCTGGCCAGAATATGCTACTATGTAGGTAGGAAACTGGCTTCAGAGACCTTCCCAGAAGGGCTTGCTGCAGAGAGGAACAGAGCATTGCCAATTTTTGCATGTCAGCACTGCTTACAGAAGCTGGGAATCACTGCACTGAGAAAAGACAGGCATCAAATCAGGGTCTCCCTGAGTGTCAGGGGCTACCAGGCCTTCCTGGTACTTTGATTTCTTTCAGTAATCAAGAAATTTTCTGATTTCTTCGCAGCTAAGATACAGCCAGTTGCTGCTTTCTGTCTAGGTACAGTTCTACACAGCTATATCCCTATCTCACAATCACTGAAAGCAAACCAACCCTAGAATCAAGATTCACCGTAAAACAATGTGGGAAATTTTCTTTCTTGAAACAGAAGTGGGTGCGAAGTGAAAGAGAAGTAAATAGCCGTGCAGACAGCCACACAGGAACTTGTATCCACTCAAAACCTACACTGTTAGAGCTACTTTTCCCTTTAGTCCTTATGTCTTCATATCTGAGAAAGAGAGTGCATTATATTATCCTGTATAAGGAAGGTAAAAACATGCATCTATGACTGCTTAAACAATTTGGCCTTGCAAATCAAATCTTCAGGCCCATAGCTGACAGGATTAAATATTTTTAAGCCTAGTTCTCTTGCTGCTGATGTGCTGAGAATTGTCTATTTCCTTGCATCTGAACACAACTGGAAAGCTCCATCAGCTTGCTTTGCTGAACTGGAGTAACTAAAAATCTTTTAAAGTTCTGCCTCTTGCACTCAGTCTATTTCACAGACACAGTTCAAAGCACAGTCTTTTTCCTTTTTCTCTCTTTTTTTTTTTTTTTTGGCAAAGACTTGTATTTCACATGGGGAAAGCAATTACAAAATGAACAAAGTGAGTAGACATCTCACATGCCAAAGGAGTGATAAAAAGCAATGTTACACATACGACAAAATAAAGCAACTCAGTTTTCGGAACAAATTGGGAGTTCATTAGCAAAACACCAGGACAGATTTTTTATGAAAACTGCCATATATATATACAATTACAATGGTAGAAAACAGTTTTAATTACAATTTTAATTGGATTTAAAGTATGATCAGAAGTTTGAGAATACTGGAAACTGACACAGAAGTGTGCTATTATACTCTTGTCAGTGAGTGTAAGTGTTACGGAGAAAGAGAGAGAAGAAACCAAAATATAAATGTATTGATTTTGGAATCAGGTCCTACCTTCCATTAACACCATCAAAATATCCCTTAAAATGGTGATGGTGGTTGCCAAAACAAAGATGGAAAACACAAATGTGCAGATTGGGTCAGCTATTTTGTATTCTGGCTAGAAAAATATGAACACATCATTTTGTTAGTTTCATTATTGTTGGTTATTGCCATTTTTAATCAGTTAATATCCAAAAAATGATATATTCCACTCATCTAGTAGACAATGAGCGCTGACCTCATTTGCCAGTTAGGAAGCCTCAGCACAGGGAATGAAGGTGATACAGACAAAGAAAGGGAGAGACTCCAAAGTATCCTCCTTGCAGTTGAAACGCTAGAAAGCAAGTGTTACACTCTCAACAGCCATTTCAATTCCCCAAAATAACTGTCTTTTACTAAATTACAATGTATATCATTAAGACAGAGAAAATGTTTACATAGTACCTAGTGTCACAATGCTATGAAAATAACTATTACTCTTAATTGCAAGGAAGGCAAGTGAACTAATAAAACTAACCTTAAAGAAGATGATAAGTGCACTAATTAGCACACTAATACTCTGGAATAGATCTCCAATGGCATGCACGAAGGCTGCCTGCAGACTGGCATTGCTCAGAGCTGGCTTTTCCAAAGGCGCTGGCATGTGGTCCCTGGCTTGTGCCCCATGGCAGTGCTTGTGGCTGGTCTGGTGCAGAATCAGGCTTAGTCTGCAAGAGATGCAAAGCTTCAAATATCAGTGGGGTTATTGCATCTCTGAAAGCAGTGACATCACACACATCACCTACCCTCTCACTTCTGAATGCTGAACAGTAAAATCTGACACATTAAGTAAAAAAGTAGAGTGACTAATTAGATAATTCCGAGGTGTTTCAGTGTTTTGCATATAAACAGGAAAGTCTGTGAAAGGAGTCATTAGTGAGGCCTCATTTTTTATAGTTCTTGAATGTTCTGACTTCTAATAAAAAGTGAGATGGGGATTAATCTTTTCCTGGAGTTTGTATATTCCTAATTTCCCTTCCTAGTGTGACAGTTAACAGAAAGGAGAAGAGCAACTGCAGCCTTCACTAATAAGCAGGATCCCTCTTCTCTACTCCTTTCTGTATCTTCATGAAACTAATAAACACTTAATATTTTTGAGGCCAATACCTCTGTATCATTTTTTTATTGAAATACAGCAGCAGGTTCAAGGTTCAAAAGTTATACTGAGAGGGAAACAAAGGAACTTACAGGATGTTGGCAACCACGGCACAAGCAGAGGTAATGAGCATCACGGTAGCATCAACATTGTAATCGGAGTGTAGCAGCCTCATGCTAGCCAAATATATCAACAAACCAGTCACCATCCAAATGATTAGCATAGACATCAAAGCTCCCAGAATTTCTAGGAATTAAACCAATCTAATTTTAGCAAGAGTCATAACAGAAATGCAAGAAAAATAAAATACATTTTTTAAAAACTTTTTTTTTTTTTAAAATAAAAAAAAAAGAGATTGATGGTAATGGTTCCAAGTTTGTCAGCTATATAGCCAGAAATGTTACTTCTTGTGTATTGGCAGCCCTGATGCTCACAAGGAATGTTCCCAAGCACTTTCTGGTTGTAGCAAATAGCAGCCCTATGCATGTGATGGTCTACCTGCTCCTACTTTTGACCCCTTTTCAGTGTTGAGTTCATGCAGCATTTGGAGAAGTTGGAGAGATTAAAAAGAGCATTTGTGGAGTTTTGGGAGGAGAAACAGGATGTATAATGGGAAGGAAAAATAAACAAGCAATTTTTTTACATCTTATGTAGTTGTCTGGCACTGCCAATTCAGTGTGAAGACCCCAGGAACCAGTGAGATCATCTGGTGGGGGGCAGAGGTTGGAGGGAAGGGAAGAGGCACAGCTCACACAAATCCACTGCAAACATAACTCCCCTCCAACAGCCTGCCTTGTTTCTGCACACCTCTTGTCACTTCACACTTCAGAAAGGCAGTGACAGCCCCCAACAAGGTCCTGCCAGCAAAACCTCTCCTTCCTCTCTTCCAGGACTCATCATGCCAATGCCACAAAATCATTTTTGTGCCACCAGCAGTGATGAGGACAAAAGAAGTTCTTTTTTCCCTGAGGCAGCAAAATTTAATTTTGTCTCTATTGGCTCCAAGTTGGGCTCAAATAAATCCAGTTGCCAAGGCCACCTTTTATTGCACTGCCATAGGAGATGTCTGAGGATGCTCGTACGAACATGCAGCATGTTTTTAATAGGATGTTGGACTATAAGGTGCCAGGTAACTTGAACAGGTAAATGTGGTACTTTATGCACACAACTGAGACAACAGAGGTTTAGGTTGGATGTTAGGAAAATTTTCTTGACTGGAAGGATTGTAAAGCACTGGAAGAGACTGCCCAGGGCAGTGGCTGAATCACCATCCCAGGATGTATTTAAAACTCATGAGAATGTGGTGCTTATGGACATGGTTTAGCAGTGGACTTGGCAGACTTAGGTTGATGGTTGGACTCGTTGGTCTTAAATGTCTTTTCCAACCTGAGTGATTCTATGACTCTATGAACACCAAGGAAAGTGAAAGCTTGTAGTATAGTAGATGCCAGAAGGAGAAGATAACTTCTGACCCCCACTGTCAGTCTGTGAATGCAGATGAAACTCAGCTTATGATTCTGTACATATTTTTCTGAGGGCCATACCTTTTGCAGGAGCCCAGGCTTCAGATGCTTATCAAAATAACCATTTTGTCCCAAACTGACAAACAATAAATGGAAGTGCACCAACAGGGAAATCTGGTTTTGCTTAGAAGTAGACAGAGAGAAGCTAACATAAAGCATGCTTAAGTTTGCATTTTCTGCAAGCTAAAGATGGAACCCCTGCAAACTGTGCCCAGGTGAAGGTGTTGATGGCTATGCTGATGACACTTTCTGTTGCTGGCATGAAAGAAGCCAACAGCTTTTGTGAACACCTGTATGAATATCTGTGTGCATGTGTGCATATAGTCGACAATGGATTATGTCAAAGGTCATCTTTACCTACACAGGTGAAAATACATACTAATTTTCAATGTAGGATCTTAGTAAAAATTTAGCTAAGCTTACAGCCCATCCAGTAGTACTAAATGCTTTACTTAAGATGTTCTCAATTACATTTCTTAAGAGCTACCAGCACTAACAAGATGCAGAAAACAATAGTGTAGGATTGTTTGGACATCTCTGAATTGTACCAGAAGTAAAGAAATCGAGAACTTGAAGAGAACTTTCCTGCTTGGACATAGGTCTGTCTCACACTATCTGTATTATTCAATATTGCACTTCCAGCTAGGTTGCTGGAAGTAGCTGCATACCCAAAGGATACCTTTGAACTGTTGGATTGACGGGTTCTGCTGCCTAGTTCTAGCTTAGAGCACAGGAGGATTCAGATGGCTTCTTCCAAAACTGAGCCCTGTCATAGATAATCTTTACATGACAAACCCTATATTTCAGTCAGAGTAAAGCAGTGAAAAAACAGCTTCCACTGTCATGGGGGGCTCCAGCTGCAAGACCTTGATAGTGCACAGTGACTCTGCCACTCATCTGCCTGCCCTCAGCTACTCTATTAAGGCACCCATCTGTATATTAACTTGAAAATATAGCTGGGTAATTAAGCAAGAAACAGGATAACTATCACGGAATGCAATTAAATAGCCACTGACATGTGATGCAAGGCTCTCTTTGCTACCAGGATAAAAGGCAATAGAAGATTGATTTTGAAGTTCTACATTTCAATTACAAAAAAATGAAAAATCTTACACAGACTGTGGGTCAAGTTGTTGAACGTGCCTATGTCAGCAAGAGAAAAGTCTCTCTTTCACATGCCTTTCTTCCTAGGCTAAGAGAGCATAAACACAAAAAGTAATTATGGATAAACTGGTGGTAAGTAGTAGTTTGCTGCAAAATTCAGCTGTGTGTTGTCTACATAATGCCAGGCATACTTGGGTCATACTAAACCTCCCCCTCATCCATCAGCCTGCTTCCAGCAGAGTTGGTAGAATATACTTAGGGAGCAAGACAGGATGAGTGTGGATATGTCTTCCCTGGTACCTTTTGTAGCTACAAGCAACCTTGACCTACAGACATCATGAGTCAGAAGCTGCTTCTGGTCTTTTATATTGAACATCTTTGAAACATTTATCATTGGAGCCCCCAGTTCAGGTGCAGAGGTATCTAGATCCATTTGAGATACACTGATACCTCCATGTATGGCTTAAGATGTGTAGATGATCTGACACAGACTTCTGAAGTGGCAGCTGGAGACTTTGTGGAACACATTAGAGCATTTCAAACAACACTGATCACTTACATATGAGCAGCTAAACTGAGCCCTAAGACACTTAGCATGGGATTAATTTCCAGACTAAGACAACTAAATTAAAACTATCCACACGTAGGTATGGAGTAAGTGTCTAAGCTCCCTCTGTGGACAACAGGCATCAAATTAGTAGTGATTCACACAGCTCCCTGCTCCATCGACTGACTAGGAACACATCCCAGTTTCTTAACTATGAGTCTAGTGGCATTTGAGATGTCCTGGTCTTGTGCCTGGCATTCTGTGCAGTCTCGTGGGGGTCTTGTGAAACAGCTGCTATTCCCTTGCATACGTCTCAGACACCCTAGGGATGCAGCTCTTGAATTCTGTGTTTAAGCAGCTGAACAGAGTCTAGTTTCTGTTTAACATATTGGAAACTTGTACTCTGTGCTTGTAAGTATTCATGTATGTGCAGACACTGATATCTAGGTGTCCAAATCTTGAACAGAATCATATCCAATTAAAATCTTTCATATAGTTAATATTTTACTGGTGTCTTGGTTTGGCTTCTGGTTTTAGGTGTCATCTGTAAATATATTGATTTTGGATGAAGACAGAGAACTTTAAAAATGTACCAGTGCTTCCATCTCATAAAAAACAGCAGTGATAAAGAGATATGCAGGGAAAGGATTTAAAAAATGGCAAATGTTAAAGGATCACACTTTTCCACAAATATAATATTATTTTAAAATAATTCAATTATTTGCTTTATCATTCTATAAGTAGAGAAAGCTCTTGTTTATATGGGTATTGCTGCTTTTATAAAAACTTGTGATTCGTAATAGATTAAGGACTCAGTCCTCCTCACACTCAGGTCACTGAAGGAAGTTGCTGTTATCTCAACCAAGGCTAGCACCAACCCAAAACTGTATTAAATAATGAATTGAAAAACACATATATGTAGATATCACTTTGTAGATAAGAGATTATTTTGCTTGTTACTTCTTTGACACTCACTGTCTTGCTCTGTTTGCCATATGTCCTGGAGGCTTTGAGTGCATTAATGCACTATTTCTAAATATCTGCAGACCTATGTTGGCCATCAGCAAATTTTCCAGTCCCTGTCTGTGATGGCTTCCCTTTCCCGTTCTACACGTTTATACTGTGATATGTTAGTTACCTGCTCGGTGCCACCCAAAAGTTAACTGTTTGGTGGGAGGTTTGGAGGCGAGCCACAGTGAGAAGAGGCTGATGAGGAAGCTTGTCAGGTCCACCAGTATGTGCGCCGCGTCGGTTACCACCGCCAGGCTCCCGGCGATCTGCCCACCTGTGTGAAACACCCATCCGTGTCATGGCTCTGCTCAGAACTTTCAGGCACCTGCATCAAACCTGAGACCAGCTTTGCTGTGCATCAAAAGGAACACTCAATTTTCAGTGGTCATACACATGACTCATAGTTTCATTCTGTACCTCATTCATGCAGTGAAAGCTACAAATTAATATAAAGAAAAAAACTTAAATTTCTTTGTCTGAGAGAGAGAGAGCCCTAAGTACAATAGGATTTGTTATATTTTAGTGCTGTGGCTATATTCCTATTGTACTGTTTTACTGTGACTATTTTAATATCGTGTTTCTTTGTGAAAGGCAGTATTAGGGATCACAGTTCCAGTATCGTCCCACAATCTTTTCACAGATCACTGGTATCTTTATGCATGTACAAAAACTTAGAGACTTAGCTTCTGGTGTTCATTTCCTATTTGTTATAGGAAAATATGCATGTTCTTCCTGAGTTTTGGATAGCTGGATACCAAACTGTTTGTCACAGGCAACACTAAAAAAAGAATAAAAAGAAAGGTCCCAGCGGGGGAGCTGTGATAGACAACCAACTGTTTTGATGAGGGCATAAAGAAAAATGTTCTGTTCATGGGACTAATCTATCATTTTGCATCTCTAATGCATGATTTAATTTTCCTGCTAGAGATGGAAAACTGTGGCTGAATATCATTTTACTCTGGGGGGCTTTGGTTTAATGGGAACTCTGGGAAAAAAAAACAAAAAAACAACAACAAAAAAAACCCAACCAAAACCAACCCACCAAACAAACAAACAAAAAAAACACCAACCAAAAAAAAACCCCAACCCAACCTAAACCAAACCAAAAAAACAACCAACCAACCAACCATTTTTAGGCTATCTGAAACCACATTTCTTTTACCCTGTAAGCTACATGTAATTATTTTGCCAAATTTTTCTAACCCTGTCTCAGGGCTAAAAGCAAATCTAAAGTACCTAAGAAACTAAAATCAGTGGTTGCAGAAGAGGCCAAGGATCATAGGCAGGAAGCTGTCCTGCTAGCTTCTTATAGCAGGGGAGTGTTTTCATCAGAGTGGAAATGTAGAAAAACAGAAATGTGAAATGGTTGAGCCAAAACGTCTAATTTCTGTATTTGGCAATATATTTCCATTCTTCTTCAGTCATTTAATGAATTTTGACTCACCTGTTTCTCCTGACCATAACCCATGTGAGAATCAATGAATTCTGAAAAACATCACAAAATGCCTCATTCAAACCTTTGGCAAGATACCGCTGGCAAAGGGATGTGTGGACATAGCTCTCGTTTCCTTAAAAATGGAAAGTCTTCACAGCAGCAGGAGGGACTGCCTGCTTCATTTCCTCCCATATGCAGATTTTAGGTTAGAATACCTAATACAATGTGGTTTGTCACCGTGGGAGGATCAATATTGCACATATAGAGGGCATAGATTATTTTTTCTCTTGCTTCCCTATACATGCTATTTACAGCTGCTTCAAAGCTACTCCCCAAAAGGGAGCAAGCGTGACTGCAGAATTTGGGGGTATCCCATTCCTATCAGTTAAGTGAAAATTTCTACATAATAGGGATTTCCCAGGATATGCACAGGTGTAAATGCACATATACTTCTTGGTCACGGCACAGCTCTCACACTTTCACCATTTGCAGGGTAGCCATTTTTCAAGCAGGAAGCAATTTTACACAGAAGAGGTAAGCAGGCTTGTCTGACAGTGCACAGATGTTAGCAACCAAGGCATCAGCTTGCTTTCAGCAAACAAATACGCAGAACACAAGCTGCCTGCAAAACCCTATTGCATTTTAGATACTGTATTTCCATATTCTGTGGGACAGCATTACAACAGCTTGCTTCTACCTGCCGCCTTTGAAATATGTTGACACATTATTATTTTATGGATTGCTGGCATAACTAATATCTTGGGTGAGTTTCTGATATATCAGCGTGCTTATCTTAGCAAGCTGGTCTAGTCTTTATAATCATCTTTGACATGAGGACGCATGCGAGGTTTGTCTTTCTAGTGCCCAAATGGAAATAAAGTACTTTGAAATCCACATTTGTTCCTTAGCCACTAAAAATCCTTGAAAGCACTTTTATATCAGGGTGGTGCATAGGATGTCATGGATTTTACTGGTATCTCCAAATCTATGGAGATTGTGAGGGATCTGCACTGGAAGAACAGAAGACAATTGTGTTTTGGAGACAGTTGGTATATCAGGCTCAGCCAACAGTGCCCCTTTTGGGAAAGCAGTAAGGGCCAGCACAGATGGTTTGAGCAAAAAATGTAATGGGAAAGATCTAGAGATTCAAAGAAGCACAACTTTTCAATCTCTTTGAGAGTGATGCAGCTTTGTTTCTTCTGTTTAGCATAATAATGCCCACGGAAGCTGTTTGCCCTTAAGAGAAGAAGGAAGTGGAACATATTCTTTGTTTTCGGTAGTAAAGCCTGTGTAATGGTTATAGGCTTTTATTGCTTTGTATCAATACTCCCAACAAGTGGCCTTTGTGACTTACCCTTACCCAAAATGGATGTTTATAGCTTTGTATTTGACAAAGCAGTAGAAATTGTCAGTCACTCAATGGCCAATCATCAGACACAGGCAGTCCAGCCTAACGATTAAAAAAATTAAATGTATGGTTCATAATTACAAAAATCTCCATAGACTGCCATCTGTAACTGTGGTTAATAACTGGTTTGTCAAAGTGAAATGGTCTGAAGCAAAATGGTCTTCAAGCCTGTTACTTAAGCTGTCACTGCAAAAAAGCTGTATGATTCATTAAGCAGAATGAAACATTTAGTTAACATATCATCTGTCCTTCCAATTATCCCCGAGCATTGCAGCATTCACCGAACTTAAGCCTACTGATTGTGTGGTTTTATTAATAATGCATTACTTCTGGCACTGGAAATTACTGCACGGAGATTAGTGGTATGCACTGGTTTTCATGGGGGAAGGGCACATGACCTAAAAAGAATGGGGCTTCATGCAGATGAAGCATGTGGGAGGAAGGAGCTGGAGAAGTCCCTGCTGGGTTTGGCAGCCAGAGGAGAAGGCAGAAATGCAGCAGCTCTTTCAGGGCCTCCACTTCTCACCTGTGAGGAAGACGAAGCCTTTCTATTTCATTTTCATGGGGCTCCATGAGCTGAAAATACATGGGTTTCAGAGGCCTTCCTGGCTGATTTTTGTTACATCCCCTGGAGCACATGTGGCAAAAGTCTGAGGGATACCTTGTGACTTACCTTACCTCACTTCACTGCAGAGAAGGTGAAATTAAAGAGCCAGGAGCTATCAGGTAGTTATAAATATCACAGAGGCCATGCAGAGAGCAGATTGGTGGGACAAAATGAAAGCTGATGCTCTATGAGCAAGCCAGATACTTATATTAGATACTGTAGGATGGATCCAGAAGTGATAGCTAATTAGACAGGGGAATAATCTTCCACTGATCCAGAGACATACCAGCAGGTCACTTTAAAAGAGAAACGTGCCCTGATATAAATACATTGACTTAACTGAAAAGAAGCAGATGGTGAATCTGGCCCTGGATTTCCCTGGAATTTGTAAAGACTTGCATTTAATATCAGATCCTGCTGCTAGCAGCCTTTGTTAGTGCTGAGATCTCATTGGCCTCAATAAATGTGTAAGGTCTTTTAATCTTTTCCAAAAAATGCAACCCAGTTTATTAGAAACCTTTTCTGACACGATGCTGAGACATACTAGCCACTTTTAGCTGAGCTTAAAGACCTAGGAGAACAGTTCAGACCATTAACTATCTCTGTGTTTCTACACAGATGAAATCCTTAAATCAATGTATTAAAATATTTTTATAAGTTTACTTAGAAATCCACCACACTTCTTTTAAAGACTGGGGAGAAAGGAGAGTTATTGTATGTGGGAGGGTCTCAGTGCAGTGTGGGGTCCCGCAGTCAGAGGGTGGGCAAAAGAACATGAGCGTGGCTGTGCTGGGCACCAAACTGGACTCTCTTTGGCAAAACATACTCCCCTATAATTTCAGCAGCCATGAAGAAGATGCAAATTACTGATGCTACGCAGAGCTTCCTCCTGGCCTGATGCTGCTCCCTTTTTCCATCCTCGCAGGCCTGTGAGTAGCCGTGACAGTGATACGCTGGATTAGCTTCAGTAACTTCTGCTTCCTCATGCTGCCTCTCTTCATTTACATTATTCTGATGCCAGCTTATCCTTTGGGATTAAAGGAAACAGACAGTTAAAAAGGAAAAGACCTGGTTATTTGGGTGTCTAGCCTTGCAGTCCCAGAAACTATGTAGTTAATGCTTTCAAAGGATAAAAGCAGCGTTGAGAACAGCAGAGCAGGTCATAGAGGAGGCTTGCTCACACAAGCAGGGCTCTGTGGGAGGGAGCTGCACATGAAATGACTGCTCTGGGTGTGTTTCCAAGCTCCTTGGGCTCTCCTACAGCATTTTGAAGTTTATGAGGCACAGGGTGACATTCTTAGGATGCGTGTTTTACACACACCATATGATTTCCAACAAGCAGTACTTGATGCAAATAGTAACCAAAATCAGCACAGCATGGAGACAATTCTATGGAAAATGTCAGGTTTTTATCCTCAACAACTTTGCCAGGGAGACTATTAAAAAAAAATCTTTTTCTCACATATAATTGACTAAGTACATTTCTCTCCTCCCTTTGCATGCAGAACTATTTTATCTCAAAATTCCACATATGTACAAAAGCTATCAATCTTCCAGGAGGGCCTGAGCTTAGAAAAAGGTTCAAAGGCACTTAAAAATGAAAGAAACCAACTCTGCACAGTATGCTGACTCCTTTATGCCACTGATTTCATAGAAAGGTGAGATGTTCAGAAGAAGTGGCTCTTTGAGCATTGCTCAATCACAAGGTAATTTCCCAGTCAAATCTGCTCTTCTGCTCTGCCACAAAACCTCAGTACCACCCTTCGCAGGGTTCCTGCATAGTAAACATGGAATGGAGCTAGATAGGTCTGGGGACAAGCACTTTGCATTGCAACTGTGGGAACTCCAGGATGATTATGACAACTATTGCTTTCACTAGACCAGCTCAGAAGCTCGCAGAAAGGAGGTCCAAAGGTGGTTTGGTAAGCAAGGACATTCACTCCTCCATAGCTCTCAGCTAAGAGCCCAAATGGAAAAAAAAACCCAACCAAACAAACCAACAAACCACCCTAAACCCTGCCATGGGAGGCTCAACTGAAAACCATTATATGTCTCCGCACACAACATGTACTGCCACAGCTGCCCCTAATGTGATAACCTGACTGGTTAAACATCCCATGTCATGTACTGAGACTTGTGGGTGTGCACTGTGGCATCAAAAGGTGAATTCTAGCAGACGCATGTACTGAACAGCCTTATAACCCTCTATTACGGATGTTTGAGCTGTGTGTAGGCCATAGTCCACAAGCCTACCCAGGAATGCAGAAAACTCCACTACTGGTTTTGAGTCTAAGATTAATTTTGGGGTATGACGTAGGACTCAGCTGTCCCAGTAATAACAACCTCTTTTCCCTATTCTGAATAAGGCCTTTCCTTTGGGACTGGGAAGAATTGTTTCTCCAGTTCCTTGAAGGAGACCTGTGCTCCGGGAAGTACGTAGATCTTGATAACTTTCTGAAGTGTCTCTGCACTGCTTATAGAAGTAGCAAGATGCCTAACATCTCCCTGGAAAGAAATCATACTGACAATCTGCAGTAGCTAATATCAAGAAAATGCACTAACATCAGAAGCTTTTTCCAGCTGCTTTTTGGGCAGCCTGAGTGGGCTACAACTAATCAGTGAGTCCAACATCCTGCCAGGTGCCCAGCAGCCCACATGCCACCGATGGGCAAGAGGCAAAGGCAGCTGTGGAGCTGCAGATGCCTCAGCCCTTCCTGTTCATTAGCACCATGGAGGTACTGGCGAAAGAAGAAGAGCTGACCCAGCTTGGCAGCCATGCCGTGCAACCGTAGATAATCAATGTGGACTTGGTTTTGTAAATATTATCCAAGGATGCAACATGTTCCTCTGAGTCAGCCTGTCTTCCAGCCAGGTTAGCATGTCGTCGCTGTTTGCTCAGCAGAGGTAACCGGTTCCCCTGTATGAGAGGAGCTTGCCTGAAAAAGCAACTGGTCAGATTTAATGCCTGATGCTTGAAGCCAGTGAATTTGCTTAGTCCTTTTGTCAGTGTTTTCCTTTATTTTCCCCACAACAAAAAGTAAATGGGAGCTAGGCATCTGGGGAATGGGCTGTCCATCTGGCAGCCAGGGTCTCCACTAGCCAGTCTTTCTCCAGTCCTTTAGTTTTACATTCATCAGGCTGTGTCATTATGTACAATATTTTCCTGATGAATTAGAAGGTACCACAAGCTTCCAGATGGCTGAATCATACACTATAGCTGTCTCATTCTCCCCTGGAGATCAAGGCATGCAAGTTTTTCTTTCTCATGATCCCTCTCTGGAGTTAACTTCCAGTGCCTTTGAATAGTGTGCCTGAAGAATTAATTTCCCTTTAACTCAATTTTCATCAGCTGGCATTGAATGTTAAAATCATCTTAACAACATGAGTCATGATCAGCTCAAAGCCTGTCAGGGCAGGAATCCCAAAATCACCCCTGCAGATTTCTGAGCCACCAAATCCATTCCTTGTTGTTAACAAAATAGGCCACTTTGTGATTCGCCTCCCTTTTTTAATCTTCAAGTTTCTCTATCAGAACAAAACCTCAGAGTATCACTGAGGGGTAGGAAAGCACTGTCCACAGATCTCGTTGAACAGATGCAAAAGCAAACAGAGACAGCCTCAACCCACAAATGTCACATTTTTGTGCCCAAAGGGTACCTAAATAAAAGTGTCCTGGTTGTCAGAGGTGGTGAGCATTCACTCCCCCTTTGAACTCACAGAGCAGCATCTGGCTTGATGAGTTAGGAAGACTCCTGCCAGCTCCCATGTGTAACCATTATTTTTTTCTTCCAAGAGTGGCCTGCCACTAATTAAAAGAATCTAAGAAACAGTTTTATAAATGTGTGAATCAAAAGCTTGAGGTGCAGAGATCAGCTCTGTCAAATCATGAACCCCTTCTGAGTTTGTTAGAGCAAGATATAGCCTTTAAGCATCAGATCTCTGCACTAGCACACTGCAAGCAGAGTCCCAGATTAAAAAATTATCTTTTCTCCATCTCAAATTCTCTTTCCTTTGTAAAAGAGATAGTTGGGGGAATGTCACAGAAATGCTCCTGCTGAGTTATGCCCAGAAGGAGGGATGTAGAAAATATTAATACGTATTGCAGATTCCACACAAATCATTAGCAAGAGCTTTTGATTACAACTTCCTTGTGTTTGTTTTCACTTGATCTGGTGGGTGCCTTGATCTGCAGGCTGACAGGAATAATTGCCATCCTCCTCGACCATTATGAGATCCCCAGTCAAAAGAGCAAAGTGTAGAATGACTGCACATCGCACAGGAGATCATCTCCTTCACAAGGTAAAATACTAATTTTTTTGGTGCCTGAAAGGATAATGAAACTGCTTTCGGAGAAAAATTTATCAAAGTCATAGTCACCTCCCCCATGCTGGCACCCCCCCAGTTTCAACTGATGTACTGATCCTGAATATTTCCAAGTCATTTAAGACCCTGTTTATAGCCTCACTGTCCAGATTCTCCTTTTCCTTACTATGGGCACAAAACAAAGACAAATATTTATATATTTGCATATTTTAGATGTCTAGTTAGCCAATAAATTTCCCTCTTCATAACTGTATAGCAAAAATTGCATGGAGTTAGACAAAGGTGCATGTGGCCAAGCATGTAAACACCATCATAACCATGAGAATGAGCATGTAAGGACAAAGTACAACAAAGGAGTATGCCCAGAGTGGTACTGCTCCGCAGTTGCACAAATCTGGAAGCATAGTGGAGAGAGCATATGGCCAGCACTGGGCAGACAGTCCCTTCTACAGGGTCCTTATGTTGCCTAACGCAAGGGCAAAGGCAATAGGATGGATTTTGCCAAGTCCTCTGAGACACTGCATGTTCCTGGGGCCAGCTGGCAAGCCAGTACAAAGGAGACATAACTACAGGGCCCATGGCTCGAACTCTTCAGAAGTCAGAAGAAACACCTGAAGTGTTCCTGAGCATTGACTTCTGCAAAACACATGAAGTGGTGAAGAGCCTTTATTTGATGAGGGCTCTTTGATCCCATAAAATTTTTTATATTGTCTGCAGGTAGGCAGAAAAAGAAGAAAATATTCCCTATATGCTTGTTATAGAAAATCAATTTCCACCTGAAGAAATCATCTCCCAGGCTCACTTCAAACTTTTTGTCTATTGGTATGAGCCTGGCAAACAGTACTCAGTTACAAGCCTAAGGCTTCACTGATGGACAGGAATAACGACAGGTCACGTTAATGCCCTGTGTTAACAACTTTTGCACAAAGACAAGACCTAAGGTTTTCACATACATTTCCTGCTTTATGCATTGCCCTCCCCTCCGCTTCCTCCCCCTGCCCTGTCCCTTGTCTCAGACACAAAATTAAAAAAAAACCTCTTGAGACTAGAATCCTTGAGTTTCACTTGTGTGGTGGTATTCAAAAACCCACTATAATGGTGTATAAAGAATGCAATCATAAATCCAGAAATCCACGCTGGATCAAGCCAAAATCTAGTTCACAGTGTAGTCAGTACAATCTAATGCAAATTTATTGATTTATGAAGGGAGATATTGAATATTTCTGGTTAATATTATACTGCTCCATGGACAGCAAGAAATAAAATCATCTGGCCTCGCTTCATTCATGGAAACTTTAGGAATTTGATCAAGAAATTCTTTAGGTTTTAATAAATAGTTATCTAGGTCACTAGATAGATGAAAACAAATAAAAAGTAACATAACAAATAATGAGTCATATGAAGAATTTTTCCTCTCCCACCACCACTACTGATTGTAAAAAGGCCATAGAAAAATATCTCAGATGCCTAATTCAAACCTAAGTTAAAGAGACAACATATGAATCTCACTTGATATGCCTTTCAGAAGGATTTTTTTGCATAAGACAGGGGATTCTGAGTCCTTAGCTTTAGACTTTGTTACAATTATAGTTTGTACTCTTCCTTGAGGTTGGTGAGAAGTGGTGTTCTATCCTGGGACCAGTCCTGCGTAATGTCTTTGTCCATTACCTAGAGGAAGAGCTGAAGTGCACCCTGATCAAGTTG